TGTCCCCTTCCTTCTTACAGCCCCTTCAGATACTGAAGACCACTCTCAGGTCTCCAGGTCCTTCCATTCTCCAGGCTGCCCAGCCCAGCTCTCAGCCTGTCTGTGGCTTGCAGCATCTCTATTGAACTAGCACGTGGCTGCTCCCAGTTTTTAGGGCCACTGCTTTTATTTTTGTGATTTGAGCTGCTGCTTTTTCAGGGCACATCGCCTCCTCCGTCGAGTGATTATGGATGCAGACAGTTGGAAAGGCTGGGCCCGGCGCTACGAAACAGCCTGACTCTGCTCATTGTTTATAGCAGGGTTACTGCACGGGTTTAATGGGAATTAACCCTGATTTCTGCCTGCGTGCAGGAATCAATGGGAGGCTTTTGTCCAAGCTGGAGGCTGGATCGGGATCAGCGCGCGAGCGCCGTGCAGAAAAACGCCTGGTGCCGGTGGGTCTCATCCCGTCCCCTTTCTCGCTCCATCCCTTTGTTTACGAGCGGCGGCCCAATCCCGTCGCAGCCGTTCAGCCCGCAAAGAGCCCGCGGTCACAGCTGTGCTGGAAGGTGTCGGGCCGGCAGGGGGCAGCACGTCGCCGCCTCCTCGGGCCGCCGCCCCTGGCTCCGCGCCCGCCTCTGCGGGGCCTCCGCAGCGCGCTCGGGCCGCCGCCACCTGCCGCCGCCGGGCGCGTCGGGGAGGGCGGGGCGGGGAGGGGGAAAGCGGCGCGGTCCGCCATGGTGATGGCGCTGCGCGGGAAGCGCGAGGCCTGGCTCCGCGCTGAGGCGAAAGGTGCGGCGTCGGTGCAGCGCCGTGCCGTGACCCGCTGTCTGCGCGGCTACTTTAAACATCGCAGGGGCAACGGCGGGAGTGAGAGCAGAAGGAAAGAAACAGCTTAGCGGCCATTTATAGCATCCCTACTCTTCCCCTGGAGGAGGTGTTAGGCCGTCTTATACCTGCACTGCGGATGAGCACGTGCACATTCCAGTCAGAAAGCGGCGAGAGCGTGCCAGCACGGCCTGCTGCACGGAGCAGCTCGTGTGCGAGCTGTGCTGCTCGGGGGTCAGAGCCTGCTGTGTGTGTGACGGGCCGGCTGAGGTCGTGCATGCATTGCCAGGAGCAGACACACGGTGTGCGTGCAAGAAACGCTGCTTCAGGTCTGTGTTAAAAGGCTTCTGCTGGTCAAATGCTTATGCAGATACAGTGATCCGAAAGGAGGCTGTGTGAGGCGGGGTCGGCCTCTGCTGGCAGGGAACGGCCATAGGACGAGAGGGGATGGCCTCACGTTGTGCCAGGGGAGGTTCGGGTTGGCTGCTAGGAACAATTCCTTCTCCAGAAGTGATTCTGCACTGACACAGCTGCCCAGGGAGCGCTGGGGTCACCGGGAGGAGTCCCAGAGCCGTGGGATGTGGCACTGAGGGACATGGATTGGATGATCCCAGTGGTGGGATTTTTTCCACCTTTATGATTCTGTGATTCTTAAGCATTTAGGTATTTTTTTTTCCATCAGATTTTCACCATTTTGTTAAATTGTTGGGGTTTTCTTTGCACTTCAGGATTTTGTTAGCTGACTTGCCTGTGTGACCATATGCTTCAGCCAACAGTGATGGATCTATAAAAGACAGGCTGCTCTTGGAAATGGCGACTATGAAAGTGTCTTACTGCACCATTCAGTGTGTGTTCCACTTCCATTGTGTGGAGTCCAACATGACAGTTTTGCAAATGTCTATGCATAGAATCACAGAATTATTGAAAGGGTCCCTCAAAAGCCATTTGCTCCAACTCCCCTGCAATGATCAGGGTCACCTACACCTCCATCAGTGCTCAGAGCCCCATCCAGCCTGATTTTGAGTGTCTTCAAGGATGGGGCCTGCACAGCATCTCTTCAATCTCTCGAAGCTTTGCTTTTATCAATAAGCAATAAGAACATTACGACTTACTTCCAGCGTATGTTGTCTAAATCCATCACGCTATGTACTTTTGTTTTCCAGAGGATTTTAAGAAGAATCTGATGCTGAGAATAGATTAAGAGGACTCAGGATGACGACAACAGTAGCGACAGATTACGACAACATTGAAATCCAGCAGCAGTACAGTGATGTCAACAACCGCTGGGATGTCGATGACTGGGACAATGAAAATAGTTCTGCTCGACTGTTTGAACGCTCTCGCATCAAGGCCCTCGCTGGTAAGTGCTCATCACAGAGGCGAAACTCTGATATACTATATGCAAGTGGTAGTACAGGGTAGTCTGTCTTCAGTGCTGTGCCTTGTTGGTAAACTAAAGCTGAAATTTTCCTGAGGACAAGTGCAGTTTGACTGAAAGATTTTTGATATTTATTCCTTCCATTGACATCAGTAGGATGCAATGGTCTTGTATTGTTTTTGAGGATGTGCTCATATATGATGTCTCATTTAAAAAAAAAAAAAAAAATGCTAGAATCTTGTTTAATCTGTTCCTGAAACTACTCTGCTAGATTTTGCTGGCTGGTAAGTGCAGTACATGTAGTTGAAAGTATAACATTTCCAGTATTCTCTGAAGGTTCACATAGATAGCCATCTGTTTGATTCTGAGTGGGCCCTTCAGAGGTGTTGGTGTTCTTTCAGTCAGACCAGGTGACTGCAGTGATACGACATAATTAACACTGATTTTCTCTGGCAACAAATGACAACAGTGCATACCCTAATATAAGTTTCTGGGTATCAAAATTCCTGATGGATAAGATACCAGTAACTATTCCATCTTCCTATTAACTTTCCAAATAAATTGCTTGAAATGTCAATTCCAACCGATATCATTTAGTTTTTTGGAAGATGTATGTGCTTTTTTTATGTTATAAATAAGCCCTTCTTTGTGTAAGAAATTCCTGGCACTTTTGAAATCTGATTTCACTGTAGTATTATATTTATAATATATTAATTATTAATATTTAGAGTATTTCACTATAGTTATACATTTAGAATTCTGAATTAGTAGTGTAATGCACATTTTATTACTCTCATCAGATATTAAATGTTTGGGTTGTGTGTTTACATTGTTTTGGTTGGTTGTCTGTGATTGGAAATGACATCAGTTTGCAAGAAAAGAAAACCTGAAGGATAACAAAATTCTGCTTCAAAATATCTTCATTTAGAGATGTTCAGAGCATCGCACCTGTCCTGAAATGGAGGAATGTGGGAGTTGGTGATGGTTGTTATTTAGTAACTAAAGCTGAAGCTATTATTTTTTTCCCCCAAGCAGCAGAGCTTCTGTAGTATGTGCTGTCATCTACTGAGTTACTCTCACGAGCAGAGAAATTAAATTTGAGCGGGTCTGCTTTTCCTTAAAACATCTGACTATTGCGTATGGAGGTTGTACATTAACCAAATTTGTTTATGCAACAAGGAGATTATGTCATGTCCTCTCAGCTCTGAGGCATTGCCCTGCAAAGCAATTTTTATGCATTCTGTAAATGATTTCCTGACTCTTATGGTAGTGTGCCCACATTCCTGACCTCTGAACAAAATGCCTCGGTGGTGTGTGGGGCATACTGTAAGCATGGAAAACGGCTCAAAATCTGCTGAGCTTTCCACTGCTGAAATTCTAGTTACAGAGTCTTTTTTTTTAACTCAACATTTTATAACAAGTTGAAGCAGGTTTATTAAGTTTGCTGTACTGAGACAAAGGTATCATGTGTTTAATCTGTGATTCCAATGAGACTGTCTGAAGCGTGGCGTACCCTTTCTCCTATTCTTGCCAGCTGTGGGAATGCATTAGATGCAGAACACCTTTGTGTGCCAGGCTCAGGGCAGGATCAAATTTGGAGCTGAGTAACAGGGAAATGAAATAGTTCGTGCAGGTGGGCAAAGAGCAGATCGTGTAACCCTTGTTGAGGAAGTATCTGTATCAGCTTAATGGAACTGCTTGGGTGTGTGTTAGTAAGGCTTTCCTATCTTAAGAGGACTTGTTAAATACACAGCAGCTCATCACAGTGTGAATTTGCAGTTACAGGTAAAACGCAAGACTTGGGATGGGGCTGTGCATAGTGGGGTCAGAAGTATCCTGATAGATTTTTATGAGGGGAGACTGGTGTAAACTGGCCTAAAACAAGAAGAATCTTGACCTGAGTTTTGTAGTGTGACCTCGTCTCAGGATAAACTGTGTTTCACTCCTGCAACATTAGCAGGTGTGGGCTGTATTATGTTCTTGGTGTGTGGAAGTGCTTTGGTAGGAATCTCACTTGCAGGATTCAGGCCCCACATCTTGCTCTTACTGCTGTCTGTTGTTGCACTTACTTTTACAGCAAGCAAAGCTTCCCACCTGAGTAATGAATAATAAAGATGAAACTCTTACTTCAGGAGGTAATGCAAGGAAAGTACTTGAATTATTTAGTCAGCCTAGAACAAATACCAATTTCAAAGCAAATAATTTTGCTGAAGATTTGATTCAGAGCTATATATAACCATTGTCCTAGAGTATGATGCATTTTCTTTTTTATAACTTTATGCACGACTGTTTCAGTTTGATATGCTTCCTGCCTGCAGTTCTCTACCCTTAGTGTTGATAATACTGCATGCTGCCAAAACATGCAGCATACTGCACTGCTGCAGCACTGCTTCAAATCCTAATGATGATGCAGGGAGAGAGGAATGAGGACGGGGTTGTGCTGCACGTTGCAGGTTGCAGTTAAAGACTAAGCCGTGTTACTTCTTGCACCTTTCAACGTATGTCGTCTGGTGGATAATCTTTCCTTGTGTCTCCCCAGAAGGGCAGGTGCTTCCATGTTGTAAGCACTGGGGAATTGACTCTCAGCCTGGAGCTGGGGTACTACTTATTTTTCTCACTGTAGTCTTTGACCCTTTGAGACCAACTCCTTTTGAGGTGTCTTGTAATTCAGCTGCCTGTCACTGGATCAGACACAGTAATCACTGCGTGAAAGCCTGGGCTTGTCTGTGCCGTCATTTCTTTAATGGGCAGATTTCACCACTGAGGCAGAAGTGGTCATGCACCATCTGCAGGGCCCAAAGTCTCTGAAGAACAACCAACTCCAGTCTGACTTAAAAGGACGGTGGTTCTTTTTATGTCACCAGCATCATCCAACACCCTGAGTCCCAAGGCAGCCATTTGAGACTGGCTATCTTCCGACAACAGCAGAGGTTTCTTTCCAGAGGTTAATCTTTCCAGAGTTGACTGCCTGGTGGTGTCCAGCTCTTTCTTTTAGTATGTCTTTTTTTTCTTTAACTGATGAGGCAAATCAAAGAAACGTCCCTGTCATACGTGTTCTGAAGCACACATGTAGCATTAGCTCCTTATCCTAGTATAAGAGGTTTCAAAATAAAAAGCTTTTTATTCCCCCATTGATAAGATGCGGAGTATAACTGCCACAAGCATTATATGCTGCCTGACTATTGACTACGTATTCAATGTGAAATTTTTTTGTTAGTGCTTTAGTTTAGTAATGCTTCTGTCCACATTCTTCATCAAGCTGTGAAATGCCTTTTCTGTAAAGCTTCCATCTTGTATTGATTCTAGTCTGCTGTAATTTAAATGAAACTTCCTTTACCTTAAAGGCCAAGAATAGAGAGCAGGTAAGCAAGAAGTGCATTCTGAGCCAGAACTTGATATTCTGTTTGGCCCCATCTTCTAGCAGGATGGTGAAATATTTAAAGAGCAGTGCAGGAGATGGTGGTCAGAATAATTGATGGTCAGATCAATGTGTTGGAGAAAAGCTTAGTTAAAGCAGGTAGGATAAATAGTGATAGAGAAGCATTAATACCAGCACAGCAGCTAACTGATATTATCAAAGAGGTCTGTACACTGCGAATACCATAATGCTAATGATGGATTCTGTTTAAAACAAAGAAAATTGCCTTGGAACTCAGCTTTCAATCAGAATTCAGATTTGAAGATATACAACCAGATTGATTGCCATTCACGTTGAACTCACTCACTGTGCAACCAATATGGGAGAAGGGTAACTGATCCCTACTTTGTAAATTAAGAAACCCTACTGTAGGAAATCGTCTTTCACCTGTCCTTGTTCTCCTGGTTCTTCAGAAGGTCTTGCTGGAAGACCAGGTAATTCTACCTGCTCTGTAGAAGCCAAAAAGATATCATGTTTGTGCAAAATTCTTCATTCACAAACCTCAGGTGTTGGGTTTCGGCCATCAAGGACCATTAGCTAACAAGATTTGCTGTGCAGCACCTTGGCTCTCAGAGCTCTTAGGAAGGCCTATAGAAGCTGTTCAGTTGTTCAGCAGAATTTTTCACACTCCTTCTGGAACTGTGACATTCAGGTGTGCTGTGCTCACCATCACAGATGATTTCAGGCAGTTTAAGAATTGCCCTCCAAAACTTTCCCTTTCTTCAGTTAGCTAATTCAATATTAAAGAAAGTCTTCACTTTTCTGCTTTTCATTTGTATTGTCATCTGTGTTCATCTGAGTGACCAGAAGGTCTGTGACTGTCTGGTGTACCAGAGCTTTCTGGTACATGGATAAAAAATAGTTTCAAGGTTGATGAAATAACAGAGGCGTATCTCCTTAGGGCAGAGCAGGGGACACTGTATGTTCCTTTTACAGCTCCTAGCTTACTGTGCATAGCTCAGGGCACTTGATAATTTTGCACTTCATGGTGTTCATGAGCCTCATAGGGGAATACAGGTAAAAAGACTGCTCTTGGAGTAGAGCTTTCCTTAGTTAGCCCTCTTATGCAGAGAAAATAGGATTGTAATTCATGCCAGCAACGTAGATTCTCAAGAAGCAAAAAGAGAAAGCTGCTGAAATTGTTCTGAAGTTACACTGTTGAAATGTTTCCTTTATAGAATAGAGGAATACCTGTTTCTTGAGGATTAAGGAAAGGTGAAGAAAAGCTGTGCTAGGTCTCATGTCTGAGACCTGTTAGCCCCATCCTCAAGCCATTCCCCCAACAACACCGGTGCAGAAAGTCAGCAAAAACAAAACCTCCAGAAAGGGAAGCTGCTGTGCATCTGCTGCCCTGCTGTCCAGCATCTCTCTTTTAGCAGAGTTGTTTCTGCTTCGACTGAGAGAGGAATTCTGCGCAGCCAGAATGAAGTTTTAGGTCTCAGGGGTTTTTTTGTTGGTTTTTTTTTTGTTTTGTTTTAAGATGAAAAGCGATGTTTTGGCTTTTAAGATAATACATGTTTTTGTTTATTTTTTTGGCTTTGAAGGAAGGAGCGTGCTGGGAATCAGCTCTTGCAATATGTTTCATAAATATCTGAGGTATCTAGCATTTGAAAATCAGCTCTCTGATTTTACCAAGGGGTGTTTAAGGAAAGGGAAACCTGCATCATACTGATTCCTGTCAATAGTGTGGACAGTTGGGAGGTCAAGCCTGAAGGGCATGTGCAGGGTTCAGCTGAAACAGAAATGACCATGCAGCAATGAAACCGCAGATGCATCTCCTCAGCATGGGCCTGGATAGTGCTGGTTTTAGACATGGTTTTAAGTCCAGGTTTAAGTAGCCAAAGGCCCAGTACAAACTTGCTTTCAAGTAGGTGTGAAAGTGCATACTTTTAAAAATCTGATTTTGCTCAGAAGTTGATGAAATTATTTCACCAAAAGCTTTTATAAGTGTGGACATCACCCAGTGCTTTCCTTCTGGATTTTGTCTGGAGCAGTTCCTCAGCTGGAGTTCCTAAGCTGCTGTACTTTACCAGAATCTGTGGGAGGCTCATGTTGAGAGCAGGAGTAACGTTTTTCATATTACGTGTCGTGTAGACATCAAGGGGGAAAGTGTAGTGCTGCTGAAGCTGCTGTAGTTAGCATGTCACTGCAGTGCTGCCTGTGCCTACTGGTGAGCACCGTGCTTTTCTCATAAAGCAAGGAAAGCTTAGCCCATCTGTCACTGGTGATTAATGCATTTGCTCTTGAAGTTGCTTGTGGAGGATTTTTCTGAAACAAATGACAAGAAAAAAAACAACCCAACAGATAATCAATAATATTTTGTTCGTAGCACTTTAATTTTAAAGATCATGAATAGACCAATTTCAGCCTGTGAAGGCATCATTTTGTCCATGCAACATAAAACTACATTCAAGTGAACAACCTGATTCAGTGATCTCCCATCAAAAATGTAATCAAGTATAAGGACCACTTGTATCTCACTGCTACAGTGATATGATTTTGGTATCCGTTCTGCATAGTTAGAAGTTTTCTTCTCTCTTTGAATCAATGGGTAGTATACAAACAATGTGGAGATATTAACCAGATCTTTGCAAACTGACCAGATACCAGATCCATGGGCCAGTGGAGCTGCCTGAGCGTGGAGCTAGGCTTGTGAAGAAAGTTGTGCTGAGTGTAATTTGTGAATTATCTGGAATCATACATACTTGTCTACTTGATGAATGGTATTTGTGATTGCATGGTAACAGAGTGATGCATGAAACTGATTGCATCCTTGTGAATAACTGATCCAGCAGACCTTGCTCAGGCAGAACGAGTGGAACTGGAAAATGGGCGTTGATCTGCTTAGGGCTGGGGGTGGAAAAGGAGCACTTGCTGGCAGCCTCACAGTGTGGAAAGTCTGACAGCTGCAATCATTTTACATCTCTGATTACATTCTTTCAAGACTAGGCAATATCCAGTCAGAGATGCACTCGGGAGAACCTAGCATCTCGCCGGTGAATGAGGCTGTTCTGACTGATCTCTGAATCCCAGTAAGTCCTTGGGCGAGAGCACAGGTGGTACAGTTTCTTGTGGACATCTGCAGATGTATGCCAGACATGTATTCACAGAAGTCTGACTCTGTGCTGAGGTCAGCAATGCAGTAATTTGGCAAAATAAGGTAGAAGAACATTTTTGTAGTAAATGTAGGACATCTGACAAAGTACTGCAGTTGAGAAGTGATGAAATAATAAAAAGCCATCTGGACTTAGAGTAAGAGGAAACCTGATGTATGTACACTGTGTGTGTTCATATGCATATCTACTTTTAGGATCTTACCAATGAAAATACCTGTGAGGGTAATCCTGAAAGCACTGGTAAATCTGCTCTGTCATACCTTGGTGTTGGACTCGTGGTCTCTGTGCTAACCTTCATGCTGTGCTTCCTTACATGCACTGATTTCTAGGTGTGTTGCTTAACTCCCACACTGGCACGGCACAGCTCTCTCCTGTCTGTTGTAGTTTTCATCATCCATTCATCACCACAGCATTGGGAAAGAGTAAAAGCACCAGGGGATTTGCTTTTGGCTGCTTGCAGAGATGGGATAAGTGAGATGCAACGTTCTGCGTCAACATCCAATGAGCAAGGAAAGGCAGGGTAGGCTTTGTGGAATCAAACGCTGCCTACTCCAGCTGCTTAAAGAGAGGAAGCAGCCTCACTGTGAGATGCATTCTCCATAGTGAGAGCTGAGCCAGGAGCAACAGCAGAGCTGGGGCAGAGGTTGGTGGTTTGGGAGACCAACCAACCAGCTTGTCAGTTGGTACAGATTGGCATTTTCCTGCTGGCTTCTGTGAGACCACACTGACTTCCATCAGCTGGGAATCTAACCCATTTAATGGCCACCATAGGAAACCTGATCATTATAGTCTTTATAGTCTTAACCTTTGCTGTTGGAATCAATGCTTTAGAGATACTTAATACAGAGAAACCATGGGGTAACTGTTAATGACCCTTCACTGAACTAATGTGATTGTTCTGTTTATTTTGCTGCATCGTCTTATTGGGAAGGATTTCTCTCTTAAAGAAATTGTGTGCCAATGATGGCAATGTCACTTCTTTAATTTGTGATTTTAGCAGGGATGAGCTTGGTTGTGGATGCACTTCAGAAATGAGTCATGAATCTACAATGTAATAGATGTCTTTCCACAAAAGATGTGTATGCAGAAAAGAGTGTTCTTGTCTTACATCCTCAGCGTCTAACTAGCAATGTCTCTGTGTTCATTTTATTTATTCAGCCAAATCTGCAATGTGCCGTGCATTTTTCCTTCTATTTGTTGCTTGGATACTGCATGAAAGCACTCCCTGAAGTATAAATAATGTCTAGCAGAGCATGCTGCAAAGCAAAATGCAGTACAGGATTAAAAGATGTTTACTAATTTCTGTTAACCTTGGAGTTCTTCTAATGGAGAAAGATTAGTGATGAAATCATCCCCTCGGATCAGAGCTTTGATTCATATCTTGAAGTAATATCCTGGAGAGATATAAACCCAGATTGCCTTGATGGGAAGAGGCAGAATGAATAGGAACAGAGGCAGAGACTGGACTAGCACAGAGGATGAAAATCTGCTTCTGAGTGGCACTTTTTCAGCTTGTAGCATTCTTCCTATTAGCTTTGATCTCTTTCAGTGTGCAGTGCCAACACTTTTTTTTCCCCCCAATCACTTTGTATCTATATGTTGCACAATGTGGATTTTTTTAAATTTTGTTTTACTTTCTTTAAATGTTATTAAGCCTTTGGGGTGGATGTATGTTGTACACAGCAGCTCTTGTACATGTGGGAGAATGAAACGTGGCTTGTGGAATAATAATGTTCTGTCAGACAATTAGTATTTAGTCAGTTAATCATGAAACTTTTTTTCTTTGCAATGACAGGCAGTCGCCAGATGATGAAATGTGGGTGAGATTTGCTCTTGAAAGAAGTGTTTCATTTGTGTTGACTCTAGAAACAAAGCTTTCAGCTCGTCGTTCTGCATCTGGGATTAAAAACAAACAACACCACCACCAACACAACTTCCAAACTTTTTTTTCTAACATCTTTCCGTTTTCTCCCCAGTTTATTTTGAAAGAACTATAGGAACAGCTCATGCCTGTACCTATGCTGTTCTGGAGCTTTGTTGCTTAGGTATAAGAGGAGCTCAGGTTCTTTATGGAGCTCAGTTAGGTTCAGAGGTTTCTAGTTTAGAGGCTCGAGTTTCTCCGGTTACGGAACAGGCAGAGCAGAAAGGTGCCTTCTTATTTCTTTCCCCTGAACTTATCACCTACGAAGTGGCTGGTCACCGTTAGGATATATTTACAAGCATTAATACAGCCTCCCTGCTTTCCCTACTATATATGGGAAGCAGGGGAAATGGTAGAAATAAATCATCTGGCTTATGGAGATTTATAAAGATCGGTGTGTCCTGCTTATTGTTTTCACCCTGTTTTCATTTGGCTCAGTAGCTACAGAAGATTGAATTTGCATGCCCGAGTAATTATGGTGCAGCAACAGTGCATCTCCTCCTCTGCTTGTGGTCTAATTTGGGGGAAAAAAAAAGAAAACAGGACAAGTGGAAGAAAAGATCAAGGAGCGGTGAAACACTTTCTTCTCCCTACATATAAACGTGGGTGCAATTCAGTCAGAGAAGGAGAGGGGTTGAGGATTGAGGAGAGGCAATAGAAACATCACCTTTTAAAATAGCATGCTGAAACTTCTTCTCTGGAATCAAATTGAGAAGTGCTTTCACACCAAAATTTCAGAGAAAATGAGTATCTTAACTGTATGCTTGTGTGCCGTGCTTGATTTTAATAGACTTTTTAGAAGAGTTATTCATCTAAGTCAGGTAGCAAACTGAGTGCGTTCTGTGGGCCAAGGCAAACCTGTAAGTGTCATTTTTGGGGTACTTCAGGGGTTCTTCCCTGCTTTGATATGGGAAGCAATACAACTCAGAAAAAGCCATTTAGACTGGAATACACACCAAGAGAAGCCACGGTCTTTTCCAGACACGAAATACTAGAATAGCTCTTCTCTGCAGGCTTTTCTGGCAAGTGTTCCACTGCTGCGCTTAGCAAGGACATGCTCTTGCAAAAGTCATGTCAACTTTCCTGTTCATCTGGGAGTTGTGAAAACTGTTCACTCTGAAACTCGAAACCAGGTGGAACTGACCCAGTTTCAGTAGTAGGTTGACATTATGGGCAGATCTGTCAGTTTTCCCGAAGGGTTTGAGCCGCCTTTGTCACCGCATGCAGGTTCATCCTGAGCCCAGGTCTGTGCCAGGGGCCAGAGCTGAGCTGCTGCAGGCCTACTGGGCCTGGCCGGAGGGAAGTGTGTGCAGTCCTTTAGTGACAGCAGTCTCTGCGGTCTCCTGCTTTTCAGTCTGCCCCTTTCCCTTCCACTGCGATGCCCTTGGCTCTCCCAGACGTATCAGGAAGGCACTTTGAGGAAGATTCTGTTTGCCACTGACCTAAAACTCCCTTTAAACAGAAGAATTAAATTGCAGTTCTGACATGGAAACATTACGACGAGAAGCTCTGTTCAGTTTGTGTTCAGTTGACCTTCTGAGATAGTTGCCAAGTGTCCCAGGGAATGACAAGTTGGTAAGAGGAGCAGACCTGCTCTGCCTGTACCTGCAGTGGTACAAAATGAAGTTGGCACAGCTACTCGTGCTCTGTGTGTGGGCTGCTCCTCTGCGTTCCAGCAGCTTGTGTGTGAACTGCAGGGAAGGCAGCTAACTCCTCAGGATTTTTCTTATGCAAATTGTCAAATGTGATAAAAATAAGTATTTCCAGAACAATCCACAGCGAGAAAAAAATAATATCTTTTTTTACTGGACCTATTGCATATGTAAGGAGAGATTCTCCTTTTACTGTGCAGACTGAGGTATTGGCAAGAGGAGTGAAAAAAGGCAAATGTGATGGGAGTTTTCAGTTCTTAACTGTGGCCTTAGAGGGGCTGTGTAAGAACTTCAGTCCCTCTCAAGAGAGAATCAAATGTTATATAGATTTTGTGGCATTTTAGATGAATAAATCATCCTTTTTATCTTGCAATATTTTTTCTAGTTAGTCGCCATACAGAGAATTTAGAAGAGCAAATAAGAGTAAGAAGGAAAGACGAGGGTGATGATTAACCAGATTTGTAATTATTGTAAGCTCTGGTGTGCACTCTGCTTTCCATTAGAAAGATAATTGTCTTTCGTGAAGTTGTAAAATCACATCTTTGTTTCAGAACACAACAGTGTAAAGCCTGCATTTGTTTTATAGTACCCAGAGAACATTTTGTGAATTACCTTCTTGGTTTTTCACATCTGCAATAAATGAATGTATTTTGTGGGTGGGCCTGTTTGGATATTGTGTCCACCGCAAACATTACCTTCACTGTCAACCCCGTAAAGCCAGCCAGTACTGGCTGACTTTATTGGTGGAAAACAGCACAGGGTGATGGTTGGCTGAGGTTATCAGGCAATTTCTAGCGACGTGCTGCCAACCCAGCAGTTATTTTCTGCAGAAGAGTTATGAACTGGATCCTTAGCCTCAAAACTAGAATTTTTTGTCTGTACTTCTTTTGAGAATATGTTAAAGGTTTGGGTTTTCTTTTGGCTGAGAAAAGTGGTGGTTTGGTTAAACCTTAGAAACATTGATAGTTAGAGATTTTGAGTGGCAATTTTGCCAGATTTAATGTCAGTTATTTTCTACAGAATTGCTTTGTGATAAAAGCAACAATTCAGCAGCAGTTCTGTATAAAAACGGATCCTAGGTCAGATCCTTTTTGTTCTGGGGAAAGCACCTGCCTCCAGATGTTGCTTCTACATTCCTGTTACTGTAATCAACCTCTTGTTCTCCTTGAGGCTTTGCAAAGCTCTAATCACATCAACTAAGTCACACTTTGCATTACTGCATGTATTTATGGCTAAGTGGATAATCACTTGTGCTTTTATTTAATAACTCCTAACGAGTGCACAAGTTATGCAGGCCATCATTACCAGTCGTGCACCATGGGAGAGGTACAATTCAAAGAATACAAGCAGAAACTTGTATTTCAGAGCTCTAAGAGGAAAGTGGGAGCAGAATTTAAGAAAAGCAATCCCTGCTTGATTACTAGAAGTTAACACATGATTTCCCCCTTAGTTTTCTCCAACACTGCAATCAGTGATGAATTGCACCGTGGACAATTTCAAGCTGGGTTGATTTGATAAGCAATGGCCCAGAGTGTGACTTAAGTTATCCTATTTATGGCCTTTAAAGTATTAATTCCACTCCATAACAAATAATCTAATTAGCATTGTCAAGGGCTTAGTCAAAGAGAAGAAAGAGAATGAGTGAAAACTGGGTATACAAAAGGGCCTTTTGCATGTGAGAACCTTGTAATTGATTCAGTGCTTTGCTACAAACAGCAGTAAACTGGTCGCAGGGTCACTAATTTGGAATCAACAGCAAATGACTGTATTAGGTCTGATGTTACCCAAATAAAAATGGGCCCGATTTTAAGAAATTGCTACGTACAGTTGTGTAGAGTTTCACAAATACAGGCAGGTCCCCATTTTGCTTTGCTCTTGTACTGAATTAATACCAACCTGTTAAGTGGAGCCTTCAAAATGTCCACAGGAGGCCCAGCAGAGCGTAAATAACGCTCTGGCAGATGAGTCGGCAGCACGCGGTGATTGGGGCCATCTCAAGGAGCTGATATCATCATTAATGAAGTCTATCACATCTGTTGCTTGGGGACCTGTTGTTCAGCCCACATGCCAACCTGGATGGTAGATAAAATGAGGTCAGAATTTCACAGTGACTGATGCTGAGTTCTCCATAGCATCCTAGCATCCCTGTGTCAGATCTTGAAGAAAATATACTCAGTTCCAACACAAATTCTTCCCTTTTCCATCAGCTTTTCCTCTGTTTGTGGTGTAGCTTACAGTGCTTATCCTTGCTTCAGTTCCTTCAGTTTTTCATGTAGCACTGTGTGCAGGCCAGAACTGGGAGAAGGAACAAAAATGCTCAAAATCCAACTTTTGTTCAGTATTTCTTGGGAACTGTAGGCTTACCACATCGAGCTGTCCCACAGGGGATGATCTGAGGAGTGAATTCATGCATGTGTTGTTAATGTTTTACGGCAGGGTGGGGAATGTCGCTCTGTGTTTTATATGGGTCAAAGCCAGGTGACTATTTTTAGTTTTTAATGTTTCATTTTTTGTAATATTTTATTTTTCACTATTTCTGATAACGGCCATGTGCTTTGTTGTGTCCCCTGCCAAAGGCGCTGGGGAAGCTTTCAGCTGGGGAAGAGCTTCTGGCTCCTGATTTATGGCCTTAATGATGTTAAAAACACTCCAGCTCTCCTGTCACTCTCTTGGACCTTATGGCTGCTTCACATAGCAACACCTGTTTGCTCAAGGTGGGACAGCAGTGAGCCGATACGCCTGCAGGTAGGACCTGGCTGCCTGCCTGCTCTCGAAGGGAAGGGTTCCCTTTAATTATGACATAGGTCAGACATTGCAGGCAAAACTGCCATTGGTAGAAAGCTGCAGGAAAAAATTTGCAGCCGAAATGAGCCTGTCCTCATGCCCTTGGAGCTGTGGAGGAGTCTGCAGTTGTATATGACCAGCCCTGTTTCCCCTTGCCCCCCTCCCCCCTCCTGAAAGTCAGGTGGCTGGCAGCTCTCTGCACAGCTCTGTGCTGGGGACAGCTGGCTGCACAGGGATTAGCAGGGGAAGGTTTAGCAGGAACACGGGGCTCACCGTGCCAGCACCAGCACATTGTTGTTCCTGCAGCAGCATCCTGCCTGCAGCAGCAGCGAGTACAGGTGCTTCCTCAAATCTCCTTGTGCTTATTTGGGGGCACAAGCCTGCAGCACCTCGTTCCATTGTACGGCAGTGTTCCAGCTGTGGACGGTCACTTTCTTCTCTGGGCAGCTGAATGGGCTTTGGGTAGTACTGAAAAGGTTGGAGGCCAGCTTTCAAAAGGACCAAAATGCATTTGGCTCTACTTGAGGCCTACTGTAGCACCAAAAGTCTCATCTAAACACAGCTATACTGTTATAGAGGGGTTTGCTGAAAGATGCTGGCAGAGGCCCTTCTGCATCAATACAATAAGGAACTCTGGGATGGGAGTTAGGTTTTTGTTTTAAGCAAACCAGTGTAGTTAAAGGCTGTAAATATTTTAAGTGTATTTATGGCCTTGGGAGCGATGTGCCAGGCACTTTCAGCAGACTGTGGATTTATTATTTTTTTGGAAACCCCAGCTTCAGCTGGGAAGTGCTGCCTTCATCCCTTCTCCCTGAATTCACGCCGCTCACAGCCGGACCTCTCGCTGCTTGTTCCCACTCTCCCTCCTTGTTCCCTGTCCGTCGGTGCCACCCACTCGCCTTTCCAGCTCTCACCTCTCTGGAGCCAGGGCTGCAATCAGCCCGTGGGTGCTTTGCCCACAGAAATTGTCCTCAGAAATTATTATCTGACTAAAAACTTGTGAAACTGCAGCATCAAAACAAAGGCAACATTTTGAAACATTTAAGGAGGAGATGGAGTGGGAGGAGAAGAGAACATTGATTCAGTTGGGAAGGAATTTGGAAATGCAAGAAATGAAAAAAAGAGAAAACGTTCGCGTGAATGTTTTAGCAGTTCTAAAAACAAATGGGCAAACGATGCAGATTTAGAATATAAATGCAGAACTGACCTTTTCATTTCACTCTTGTGTGTGAGTGAGGGGAGGAGCTCACGGCCCCGAGGGAAAGCTGACCCATCCTAAAGCCAACTCCAGGAGCTGCACTCCAGCAGGCAGAGCGAGCACCTGTGCTCACGTGCACGGGACGTGTCAACATCTTCCACGTTGGCAGCGACGTGAAATTGAGCGAAAGGAACTGGCTGCTTACAGAACCCCTTCACAAAGGTTTCGTTTGTACCCAGCATGCTGGGGAGCACGTTTTTCTGAGTCCTCTCCTCGCCTGCTGCTAAATACTGAATGAGTGCTTCTGTGCGCGTGTTGCTTTTTCAAGCGAACGGTATTGAAAATAAATGAAGAGAAGTGCCCTCCTTTTCAAGCGATAGTAATCTGAGACTTTTCCGTTACATGAGGCTCTCCACAGAAGCGTGTAATTCCACCAGCTTTGTTTAGGAAGACTTGTGCGGTGCAGCGGGGCGCGGGCAGCCATCCCGCACGCGGCCCTCGGTTTGGGTGCTGCCGCCGCGCCGGGCGCTTCCAGCGGAAGGAGCCTCCCCGGCGTCCCACTGCCAGCCCCGCTCTTCCCCAGCTCCACCGCCCCTTCGCCCTTGGTACAGCCTACGTTTCCTCCACCGTGTGCCGTATGGTAATCGAGTGACATCAGCCTCCGCCCGGGCGGCTGCTGATTATATTACAAACCAGCCGTAAGGTCTGAGGTGTGCGCGGCTCCTGGGAGCGCTGCTGGGACGGCTGCGCGTGGCTCCGGGCTGAAACGCAAGTTCGCTTTTCTTTAGGATAGTTTCACTGGAGCTGGGCGTTTGAAACCAGATGGAAGCGCTGTAGTGGAGCAGAGAAAAAAAAAAAAAACAGAACAACCACCACCAAAGAAACTCTTCCTGGTGCTTTAAGTTTGAATCTGTTACAGAAAACGTGCCGCCAACCCACACCGCTGGATTTTGAACCGGAGCTGCTATTTGCTCGGGGCTCAGTGAGAGCGTTTTCTCAGGGACCGAAGCCAAACTTCAGAGGAAGCTGGGATTTACCTGGATGTGGGGTAGAGAAACCCGTGGTTTCTTTATGCTGCAGTTCATCGTATCCCTGTGTTACCTGTAAATGGAATTACAGAAATCAACCAGTATGCCTGGGCCGTTGTCCCCAGGATACGCAGCTCAGGTGCCCTATAACTATAATCAGTTAGAAGGAAGATTCAAGCAGTTACAAGGTAAGCCCGTGCTGTTTTGTGTGTTTGTTGTTGCTTTTTTCTTCCTTTTGTAAGTGTTGCTACGATATGATCCCAGTAATATGTTAGCCTGGGCTTGTTCTCCTTGCAGGGAGGCAGGAACGATACAGAGTCCAAAAACAGTGCTACAGCACAAAGCTGTGTGTGCTTTTAAGAGCCACTGTGTGACTTTTATCCCTCTGAAGGTGTCCTCTGTCTTACACAGCGGTGCAGTGCAGTCCAACTGTGAGCACTCAGCATTACAGATGAGAAGCAGCCCAGACCAAGTCAGTCGGAACAATAAGAGGGAGAGTGAGGAAGTGGTCTTTCTGTTTGTTTTCGCCTTAAGTGAGAGATAGTCCTAACTGTGGATATTAGTCGTGAAATCTAGGCTTTGTTTGGGTGCAGTGCAGCAGCTCTAACTGCCTGTGTACCTCCTGTAAAGAAGAAAAGGTAGCTTGACTTTTTCAAACCAAGGGTAGTTGCATCATTTCCAAACAAAATGCCTTGCTCATGTTGATAGTAGATTGCTCTGAAAGCTTTTGCATACTTTAATGTTCCCAGCTTCCTTCATTTTTTACCACTTTACTTTTAGACAGAGGCAGTGTTCTGCAGTGTCTTCCCATTAAATTCTCTATTTGTGTGAGAAGAGAAATCAGCTATTGCCTTTGGGGAATGGGATGTGCTTGATAGAGGCTAGGCCTCTGAGCTGGGCTGGAAACCCAGATTGCTTGTGCTGTAGTGGAGCAGGATTGTGCCCAGTGCATCTCTGCCTTGGGCACAGGAATATCAACACCACTGTTTCTGTGCAAGGCAATTCTCAGGAATGAATGAGCCCTGGCAGTGCAGTTCAGAATCAATCAGAATTCTTAACCAAAACCAAACCTCCTCCTCCTCCGTAGCCATGTGACTGTAAATAATCCCGGAGCAGCCCAAGCACAGTGAAGTTCATCCCTTCTGAGCATGTTTCTTATTTCACGCTGATCTGTACCACAAGTGTGGTCCTGTGGCTCCTGTTGGAGAAGGAGGAAGAGCCTTGGTTAGCTTGAAGAATGTTCCCAGTTGTTGGCTTAAGGAGGGAGGCAAGAAAATCTTTCATTCATAGTACTTTGTTTATCTTGTAAACTGGCTCACAGTAATGGCTGCGTTCTGGATGCAATAAGATAAAATGACAGCATTTTAAGAGCTGATAACTGAGACATTCCTCAGGCAAGCATGGAAAGTCCAGGCTCCAAACTTACACATGAGGGAATACATACATTAGAGGCTTTATCTTGGACATCTGTCAGATCTTAGGCTGCGGTACTTGCTTAAAAATGAGCGAGGTAAGCTTGCAGCACGGGGGGAGAACTAGTGGCTCCCACCTCTTTCTGTGCTGGTGAAGGTAGCAGCCAGAGGAAGGCAGATTTTATCATTTTCAGGTCACTGCTTCAGGAATCCATTATCTGCATGTTTACATGACGTTGAAAGAAGAAAGCAAACCGCAGTGTTGAAAGCACAGAAAGTGAGTTTACCCTGCAGTGGAATGCAGTGTTGACTTTGGGGGGGAAGACTGCAATACTCCTCTTAAATTTACGGCAGTTTCCTTTAACGAAGAAGATAACACACTGTGTTCTGAAAGCATAAGGAGGGACTTTGCATTAGACCATCCCTGGCTGTTTATTCATGTTGCAGAGGGTAGACAGGCTTGAAAACGAGTGCTGACGATGATCTCCTACAGGGTGGAGCTTAAGTACAGGAAATGTTTTAAATTATGCACTAGATACTCCATGAAATGCTAAATAACCGTGCAAAATATTTCGTGCTGCAAAGGGAGTGGCCCGACTGCTGACAAAGGTGTCTTTCCTTGGATTAATAGCTCTCTGTTTGAGGAATAGCTGAAAGCCATTATTTGGGAGTTGGAGACCCTTCGAGTGACTTTTGTGTACTTGCTGGAAGCTCCAGTGAGACTGCAGGGCACTTGTGGCACTGCAGACTGCTCGGTGCCAGACCCAGCAAGGGTGAGCTGAATACGTGTATAGTACTCTTGAACTGCAGTTTTATCATCGGCTGGAAGGCGTACAAGCAAATAAGATCAAGTCACTCTCTGATTCCTGAGGTAGAGGGTTGGGTGGGTTTGGCACGGAGTTTTGCTTAGAAGGAAAAAGAAGCCGGGAGACGACGAGTTCTGCCCCCAAATGCTAAACGAATCCTGGTAAACAAGTTAGCCTGGCAGGACAAAGGAAATTCAGATGCAAATTCAAATGACCACTTAGGCACTCTTACATTCCACCTCTGTTAAGTGCCTTGAAGTGGTGATTTTTATGGAAACTTAAGAAACGTGGCTGTGGTGACAGAGCCTTCTGAGCAGATTTTCCAGCCTGCACCTGAAGTTGCCTTGCAGAGATCCCTACTCCCATACGCTCTGGGGAGGGCAGAGAGGAAAGATGCAGCAGAAGATGCCGATACAAATGGATCTGAGGATCGAGGCTGCTTTGTGTTTAAAAAAAAACCCTGAAGTCTTATGTGGAGATGATGCAAATAGTGGAGGTGCCTGTTAAAGTGGCTGTGACTGGAGGAGGAAAACTAGATCTTCTCCAGGTCTTCTGAGCATACTTAGTCCTTGTGAAAATGTCAGTGCAGGTGTGAGAGGAAAAATGCTTTAACAAATCCTGTTGTCTTCAGTAAGCTTTGTCAGTTCTGATTGTAGTTAGTTCACCCTGTCCTGGAATGATAGGTGAGAGATGGTATCAGCGGTTGCAATCGTTTAAACCTAGGCGTGGAGTTTTGGTTCTCACGGCCAGTTGTTCAGTAAAAAGAGATCTGGAGTAGGGCTGCCATAGCTCTGCAAGTAAAGACAGGACCCCAAAGCTTGTTTGTGGAAAACGTATTGCCATGTTGCTTATGCAGGGCATGGCAGTGTAGAAATTCATCCTGTTCAGCTGAGCAATTACATGACAGGCGTAACAGATAAGTTATAACTGTAAACCAAGGCATCACCTGTGGTACATTAACACTGCAGGATCCTGTGGCTTGGCGGGGATGTGGAGTTGGCAGGAAGAGGTTAATGCAAGTCAGGAATTTGGAAGTAGATCCCCGCAGCTGCATCACCTTCCCCAGCAAGGGCAGAGAGTGCTGGTGCTACAGGAGAGCAGCTCTCATCGCCGCACACGGACTCCTTCTCACCTAGCTAACGGGGCAGCGTGGTGTTCATGAACACTGCTGGCACTCAGCAGTGCCTTTACCAGCTCCTGTGGTGTAACTGGGAAGTTGGGTCACAGCTCTAGGAGTGTGCCAGAGGTGCAAGATTTCCTGTGGCAATTACAGATTGAAATCCTGGGGGAGGGGCGTGAGCTACATTTGTGCTCCTGATAAACCTCCAGAGGAAGGCCGGCTCCCAGTGGAGCTCTGTGCTGTGCCGTGCAATATGTTCTGATGTGTTAGGTTATTTAAACGTTGCATTTCAGATAGGAAATACCATTTCTTGTCTGCAAGAGTCTCATCCCCATTTCCCTGCCTATGCCCAGGGAGGATCGGGAGCTACCACTGAGATGTGGCCGGTGAGCTGAAGGACCAGGCCTCGGCTGGGGCGGTGAAATCTGCTCTGCTCAGGATCCTCCGGAGTTATGTGGGTGCCCTTTGAAATGACACTTTCAACAGTTGTGTTCTTTGCTGCAAGATTTACGTGTTAGAGGATTTCACAGTTGCTTGCTAGCAGTGACCTGCATAGCTACAGGCAGCAATTGCTGAAGGATGTCCTACTTTGTCTACCAAATTGGTCACTGGCATTTCTTGTCATGGTAATTTTCCCTAAAGGGGAAAAGGAGGAAAGGCTTAATTTCAGATGAAATGTGTCTGGTTTACATGCTTTTTTCTCCCCTCTCAGACCTATTTGAATTGCAAATATATTCTTGTTCCTGTGGCATATTTTGCTTGATTTTTCTGCTGTCTGCAACCCTTTCAAAATCTTCGTGTCACATCATAGTTCAGTCTTCTGTTTTCAGAGAACACAGAGGCACAAGCTAAACTGTTGGAAAGGCTGTCAGAAATGCAAAGGATTACATGACCTCGAATGCGTTTCTGTGTCAGCTGGGCCCTTAGTCTTTCTGTGAATGCTGGACTCAGTTTGGGGGCATTTTAGCTATCTATGACTTAGAAGTTGGCTGAATAGTGGTCAAAGTCTCCTTTGTCTAGAAATGTTTCAAGCAGACACTTGTTTGGAAAAGGATGTAAAAAGTGTTCTTGCCAACCAATGGAGTGTTTAGTTTTGGGATGTAACTTAGAGGAAATGACCGGGTGAGTGTTG